AATTTGATTGACATTTTTAAATATAAATATGATTAGAAAAACCAGGGTGATCGAAGCTTGAGAAATTGACAAACCGGAGACTTCAGGCAGATTTTGATAAGATATAAATAGTTGGAAAATGGACTGAACTGAATGAGCCGTTTGCTGGTCAACTCTGTCCATAGGGAAGTAGAGCAGCCTGTCCTCCTACAAATAACGTCGCTTTTCGTTCGTAGGCGTTACCTACGGCCAAAAATTGCCGTACTAGAAAATGGAAGCGGTTCGCGAAAGTGACAATGTCTCGTTTTCTGTTTTGGGTCCAGCAGGCACCCCTTACTGTGGTTGGTCCAGCAGGCACCCCTTACTGTGGTTGGTCCAGCAGGCACCCCTTACTGTGGTTGGTCCAGCAAGCACCCCTTACTGTGGTTGGTCCAGCAGGAACCCCTTCCTGTGGCTGGTCCAGCAGGCACCCCACTGTGTGTAAGCCTCCATGCATCACAAACCCTCCCCTCTACGCACGGTTCCCCTCTCTTCCCTCCCCTCAGATCGGATCAAACACTTTGGAGCAAGACAAGTATGAAAGAATTTTAAAATATTTAGAATGGAGAATAGAAAGATGCCAACAGAGGGGGGGAGGAGAGAGAGAGAGAGAGAGAGAGAGAGAGAGAGAGAGAGAGAGAGAGAGAGAGAGAGAGAGAGAGAGAGAGAGAGGAGAGAGAGATCTCGAGAGAGATGAGAAGATATCACGGGGGTCAGATGTGTTATAGGAAGAAGCAAATGAAGTAGGGAAGGAGGAAGGTTAGGAGAGGCAATGAAGGAAAGGAAGTAGGTAAAAGGGGGTGTAATAGTGGGGAACTGATGTTATTGGAGGATATTGCGGGAAGACCCGGGTTCGATCCCCCCCTGCACCTCCACCCTTGTTCTACTCCCTAGGTGCCGTAGTGGTGCTTGGATCGTACCTAGATAAGGTTCTGGGAGTTGTTCTACTCCCTCCATAAACCCGACCCGGAGCCCCAGGTTTGACTTGTGAGAGCTTGGTCCAACAGGCTGTTGCTTGGAGCGACCCGCAGGCCCACATATCCACCTCAGCCCGATTGGTCCGGCACTTCTTGAAGGAAACTATCAAACTTTTTCTTGAAGACTTCTACTTTTGTTCCGGCAATATTTAATATACTTGTTGGGAGAATATTGAAGAACCTTGGGCCTCTGATGTTCAGTGTTCTCTGAGTCTATATATGGCACCTCTGTTCTTCACTGGCTCTGTTCTTCATTTCCTGCCATATCGTTCACTCCAGTATGTTGTTATTCTACTGTGCAAATTTGGGACCTGGCCCTCCAGTACTTTCCATGTATATATTATTTGATACCTCTCTCGTCTCCTTTCTAGAGAGTACATTTTGACCCTCAGATCCTTTACATGTTGCTTTCCAACTATGGGTAGATTTGATTGTGTTCTGTATCCTGTATTTTATTTAAAGTTTAAATTTTTACCATACCTATAAGTACATGAATTTAATTCTGTTAAAATCATGTAATTTTCTGCTGCCCAATCGAAAACCCTAAACATACATACGGCTTTGTACACATACAACTTGGTACACATACAGCCTCGTATACATACAGCCTGGTACACATACAGCCTGGTACACATACAGCCTGGTACACATACAGCCTGATACACATACAGCCTCGTATACATACAGCCTGGTACACATACAGCCTGGTACACATACAGCCTGATACACATACAGCCTCGTATACATACAGCCTGGTACACATACAGCCTGGTACACATACAGCCTCGTATACATACAGCCTGGTACAGAGGTAGCAATATGCTTGTTAAGCAGCGTAATTGGGCCACATGACCATCGTTAAGACACACATATTACCTTACATGTAAATGATGATACATAGAGATAAAGGGAAAGAATGTGTAATTATCAGGTAACTTATGTGTCCCTTCTTCGTCTGCTGCGTATTCCTCTTCCGTTCCTCGTCTGCTCCTCATTCCTCTTCCGTTCTCCGTCTACTGCTTATTCCCATTTTGTTCTCCGTCTGCTGCTTATTCCCCTTTCGTTCTCAATGCCATACTTGCCTTCCCATAACTTTCGTTTTTTTGCTCTTCTCCCTATCTCCCTCCTTCCATATTACGTCTCACTTTCCCCTCTTATCACATATTTCCCCTCTGCTCCCTCACTTGCCCTCGTCCCTTATATCTTATTCCTTCATTCGCCTCTCCATTACTCTTTATTATCATCTTCTACGTCTCCTTTGTTTGCCCTACTGCTTTCTCTTCCTGTCTGCTTCCTCTTCCTGTCTGCTTCCTCTTCCTGTCTGCTTCCTCTTCCTGTCTGCTTCCTCTTCCTGTCTGCTTCATCTTCCTGTCTGCTTCATCTTCCTGTCTGCTTCCTCTTCCTGTCTGCTTCCTCTTCCTGTCTGCTTCCTCTTCCTGTCTGCTTTCTCTTCCTGTCTGCTTCCTCTTCCTGTCTGCTTCCTCTTCCTGTCTGCTTCCTCTTCCTGTCTGCTTCCTCTTCCTGTCTGCTTCCTCTTCCTGTCTGCTTCCTCTTCCTGTCTGCTTCCTCTTCCTGTCTGCTTCCTCTTCCTGTCTGCTTCCTCTTCCTGTCTGCTTCCTCTTCCTGTCTGCTTCCTCTTCCTGTCTGCTTCCTCTTCCTGTCTGCTTCCTCTTCCTGTCTGCTTCCTCTTCCTGTCTGCTTCCTCTTCCTGTCTGCTTCCTCTTCCTGTCTGCTTCCTCTTCCTGTCTGCTTCCTCTTCCTGTCTGCTTCCTCTTCCTGTCTGCTTCCTCTTCCTGTCTGCTTCCTCTTCCTGTCTGCTTCCTCTTCCTGTCTGCTTCCTCTTCCTGTCTGCTTCCTCTTCCTGTCTGCTTCCTCTTCCTGTCTGCTTCCTCTTCCTGTCTGCTTCCTCTTCCTGTCTGCTTCCTCTTCCTGTCTGCTTCCACTTCCTGTCTGCTGCTTCTAATTTTGTCTAATATTTTACTTGATATCCTCTTCCTTCGCCCGACTTTATCTAATGCTTCCTTCCC